TACCAAAAATGAAAATACATCCTCTGCTAAAGATTTATCTAAAAAAAAAAAGAAAAAGAAAAAGAAGAAAGCATTAAAATCAAATACTCAAACAAGTCATGATGATGATGATGATGATGTTGATGAAGTGGAAAGATCTGTTCAAGAGGTTAATGCCATTCTCGGAGCATCTGTTACTCCTGTCGAAACAAAGGAACTCGATGAAAAAAGGAATAAACAAAAATTACTATGCGTAAAATATAAACATCTGAATCCCAAAAATGAACTTAAAAAAATATTCGGAGCCAAAATAATTCAAACTCAACAAAAGTAAGTAATATTCCATGATTGATTTTCACTCTCCTGTGTTATGTATTCAACAGAATGATTTCCATTTAGGAAATTATTTTTCAGTTAATGCTTTAAATGTTTATTAGATTTACTTATTTGTTAGTTATGTCACTCATTGCTTTACTTTAATTATTTATTTTTTAATTAGCAAAAGAAAGGGTCATGGATACAAAAGCTACAAGAATAATTATCTGGTTACTCCGAGGGAAACTTGGCCACCGATAACTAAAGTTGGTCTGTCGATGAAATTACTCGAAACGAAAAATGATATTCAATATTTTTGCTTTGAACATAGTTTAAATTACCAAAGTATACAAAAAAGCTTTTTGGAAGCTGCAGAAACTTTATCACCTGACAGCATGTTGGTAAGATTTTTTTCCCTATACGAATACGATTTTTTTTACCCCAACTTTGACATTACGTTTTTTTTTAGTACTTACATTTAATAAAATAATTTTAGGCGATTGCAAATCAATCTCCTTTTCATATAGATACCCTCATTCAAGTGTCTGATATGTTTAAACTTAGCGATGATTTGGCCACAGCTGCAGAGCTTATAGAAAGAGCTATTTATTCGTTAGAATCTGCTTTTCATCCTCTGTTTAGCGTTGTCAAAGGAACTTGTAGGTTAGATTACAGGAGACAAGAAAATAGGTAATTAATTACTATTAAAATTACATGTAAAATTAATTAGTTTATTTATACTTATAAAAAAATATATATCTGTTCTAGGGCATTTTATATTGCCCTCTTTAAGCATTTAGTATTTGTGGGTCAAAAAGCTTGTTATAGGACAGCATTAGAGTTTTGCAAGTTAATATTTTCTCTTGATCCTGAAAAAGATCCATTGGCCATTGTTTTGGCCATTGACTTTTATGCTCTTCGATCGAGGGAATTTGATTGGTTTCTACAATTTGTCAAAGTGTTAGACAGTGAAAAAAATTTATCACAGCTACCAAATATTTCGTTTTCAAAGGCTCTAGCATTATTTCAACTTTCTGATCCTTATTCAAACGCTGCTTTGCAAGATGCATTGTTAATGTTTCCCGGCGTACTTTTACCACTTTTGGAAAATTGTGGAATTCAACCCGATTCAAAAACTCAAACTCATTCATATTTTTTAAATGCCGTATCCAGGTAAGATATAATTAAATAATAATTTATTCAAACTTGAAAACTTTTTTTTTTTTTACAATATTAATTATATTCATTTTAATATTGAACAAAAAAAAACTAAATGAAAATTTTTTAGTCACACTCCAGCTTTGAACTTGTTGGTCCAGTTGTACGTTCATAGAAATTATCACATATGGAAGGAACCGGATACGTTAGCATGGTTGGAAAGGAACACTCTTGAAGTTTTGAAAAGAGTCGATAGTAAAGATCCCGTAGTGATAGATTATGCTCAGAAAAGAGCTCGAAGATTTGAAGCGAAAACTCCAAGGGAAATCGAAAGACACGTTTTTCTATCGGATATTAAAAATGTGACCGCCGTTTTAGCCGAGGTAATTTGTTATTGCCACGTTTGTCTAAATACCCTTCGACCGTGTAAACAATGTCCTCTGTTTGTTGCGTTTTCAGAGTTCAAATATCGGAACGACTTTCAGTTTTGATCCTCTTCCTCCGCTTGATTCCATTAATACTTATTCAAGACCGGAGAGACCACAAAGGTCTTACGATAGTTCGAATCCTTTGAGTTTGTATTTTAGGTCATTGTTACCGGATTTTAACGCTGTTTTTATTGACGATTTAAGAGAGGGGTAGATAATTTATTTACTTAATGAAATTAAACAACAACAAAATTTTTTTTTTCTTTAATCGTATGCTGCGTGTGATTGTCGTAGACAAAATAGGGTAGAAGTTGAAGTTTACGACGAAGCCGGTGAATATTCAAATATCGAAAACAGAATGAGAAATTTATTAGACGCCATGAGAAATTTTCTATCGAATTTACAAATACAATACGACGATCATCAAATTCTCGAGGCGGTTTTGGAATCAAGCATTGGAAGTAATGAGGAATACGATTCAGATTCAATGGGTAGTCCGCTCTAAATTAATATAAATACACATTCGTTCAATTCAACGGAATGCAAAAAAAACAAAATTTTTTTTTTATTAATTAATTATTATTATTATTATTATATATTATTATACAAAAAAATTTATTGTTAATTTTTTGAATAGAGAGTAGTGATTTAAAAGTTGAAAAAAAAAAAAAAAAAAGTTTCCTGAATAAATTTTTGAAAAGATTCCCCTCGTTATCGTTTTAATAAAAAAAAAAGAATAATAATAATAATAATAATAATTTTTAAATACATATAATATATTTTCTTTCAACAATCGAACATAGTAAATATTAATTAAATTTTTTTTTTTTTATGTAATGTTTTGGCTATTGCCTGTTATATATCAATTAAAAGTTGTTTAATAACTAAATATGCTTCATTTTCAAACCTAAATTATTTTTTTTTCGATTAAAAAAAAAAAAAAAAAAAAAAAAAAAGGATTTCATTTTGCGATGAGGGAAGGGAAAAGAAAAAAAAAATCTGGAAAAATTGAGCAGTCCCCATGTTGTTCTGACGTCATTTATTGGGTAATACTAACCAGGCGTAAGTTAAACATGGGCGAAACTAGTCTGGATTAATCGAATTATTACCTTGATGTGTGATCTCCGGCCATTTTGTTTAGAGATTTTCATTTGATTTAGTCCGACATTTTTATTAATTTTTTTTGTACAGGTATATTATAAAACTTAATAAAATTCTATAGAGTTATGATTAAATAATATCATACACGTAGGTAATAGTTTTTTTTTTTTTTTTTTTTTTTTTTTTTTTAAAATTTAAAAAAAAAAATTTTTTTTTTTTTTCTTACAAATTTCATTATACAAAAAAAAAAATTTTATTAACTCTTTGGGCCAAATTGACAATTATTTTAAAAGCTTTTGTTTAAAAAAAACTTTTACCTTTAGGCTTTACCGATTATTATTTTTTTTTCCATTTATTTAAAAAAAAAAAAAAAAAAAAAAACTTTGGCTAATTTTGGGGCAATTTTGATTAAACAAGGGGTTTATTATTATTATTATTATTATTACAAACCCACGTTTTAGGTTTCATTTAAAGTTTTCAAACATTGAAAAATCCCGTATCGAATTCATTCAAACCTTATTATTATTATTATTTTTATTTATTTCACAATATTATAAAATTTTAAATCGGAAAAAAAAAATTAAATTAAATTGAAATATTTATTTGAAGGCCAAACCAGGTAACATAAATAATGTAAGTTTAAAAATAAATTATTAATAATAATAATAATAATATGAAACAATCAAATTTTCAGTTGATTTATATTAGTTTAATTAATTTATTTATTTAAAAATAATAATAATAATAATAATAATTCATGAGGATTTAAATTTATTAATTAAATATATTATATATATTAACCCAATGAAATTCAATAGTTAGTTATTATTATCATTATAAGAACGTTAATATTATTATTATTATTATTATTGTCATTGTTTGTTATGTGATGATGATGTGATATAAAAAAAAAAAAAAAAAATCTTATAAATTATTTATAAAATTCGAGAAAGGAGGCGTACAACCAGATTGTTTGTTTGTTTGTTTTATTTAAAATTGTACGATACCTAAAAAGGCATTTACGTACACATAACTAAAAATATTATCATTATTAAAGTGTCAAGGTTTAATTTTTTTTTTTAATATCTTGTCAGATTAGTTAATGTATTTCACTTGTTTTTTTTTTTTTTTTTAATTTTAACTTTATTCCGTCATTAAAGCAAATAATTACGATGACCGATTTTTAAAATAAATTAAAATTAAAAAATTTTTTTTTTTTTATTCTCCCACGTTAAATGTGTTTTTTTGTCTCTTTTTTTTTTTT